TTCAGTGTTAGCTTTAGTGTTAGCTTTAGTGTTAGCTTCAGTGTTAGCTTTAGTGTTAGCTTCAGTGTTAGCTTTAGTGTTAGCTTCAGTGTTAGCTTTAGTGTTAGCTTCAGTGTTAGCTTTAGTGTTAGCTTTAGTGTTAGCTTCAGTGTTAGCTTTAGTGTTAGCTTCAGTGTTAGCTTTAGTGTTAGCTTTAGTGTTAGCTTCAGTGTTAGCTTTAGTGTTAGCTTCAGTGTTAGCTTTAGTGTTAGCTTCAGTGTTAGCTTTAGTGTTAGCTTCAGTGTTAGCTTTAGTGTTAGCTTTAGTGTTAGCTTTAGTGTTAGCTTCAGTGTTAGCTTTAGTGTTAGCTTCAGTGTTAGCTTTAGTGTTAGCTTCAGTGTTAGCTTTAGTGTTAGCTTTAGTGTTAGCTTCAGTGTTAGCTTTAGTGTTAGCTTCAGTGTTAGCTTTAGTGTTAGCTTCAGTGTTAGCTTTAGTGTTAGCTTCAGTGTTAGCTTTAGTGTTAGCTTTAGTGTTAGCTTTAGTGTTAGCTTCAGTGTTAGCTTCAGTGTTAGCTTCAGTGTTAGCTTTAGTGTTAGCTTCAGTGTTAGCTTTAGTGTTAGCTTCAGTGTTAGCTTTAGTGTTAGCTTTAGTGTTAGCTTCAGTGTTAGCTTCAGTGTTAGCTTCAGTGTTAGCTTCAGTGTTAGCTTCAGTGTTAGCTTTAGTGTTAGCTTTAGTGTTAGCTTCAGTGTTAGCTTTAGTGTTAGCTTCAGTGTTAGCTTTAGTGTTAGCTTCAGTGTTAGCTTTAGTGTTAGCTTTAGTGTTAGCTTCAGTGTTAGCTTCAGTGTTAGCTTCAGTGTTAGCTTCAGTGTTAGCTTCAGTGTTAGCTTTATGTGTTAGCTTTAGTGTTAGCTTTAGTGTTAGCTTCAGTGTTAGCTTTAGTGTTAGCTTCAGTGTTAGCTTTAGTGTTAGCTTCAGTGTTAGCTTTAGTGTTAGCTTTAGTGTTAGCTTCAGTGTTAGCTTCAGTGTTAGCTTTAGTGTTAGCTTCAGTGTTAGCTTTAGTGTTAGCTTCAGTGTTAGCTTCAGTGTTAGCTTCAGTGTTAGCTTTAGTGTTAGCTTTAGTGTTAGCTTTAGTGTTAGCTTCAGTGTTAGCTTTAGTGTTAGCTTCAGTGTTAGCTTTAGTGTTAGCTTCAGTGTTAGCTTTAGTGTTAGCTTTAGTGTTAGCTTCAGTGTTAGCTTCAGTGTTAGCTTTAGTGTTAGCTTCAGTGTTAGCTTTAGTGTTAGCTTCAGTGTTAGCTTTAGTGTTAGCTTCAGTGTTAGCTTCAGTGTTAGCTTCAGTGTTAGCTTCAGTGTTAGCTTCAGTGTTAGCTTTAGTGCTGGCTTTAATGCATTGTATCAGACGAAGGACGCAGACAGCTGTAGATAAATGGTAAGTAGTGTTTCTCCAACGTCTGAGAGGTCAGGGCAGAACCAAACGCCAGCGACCCAACATTTCTGCTCTTTCACTTCAAAGGCGTGGGCTCGGACCATGGAGGCAGGACCAGAGGGACACTTGTTCTGACCAATCAGAGTGCAGCTGATCCGAGAGGGATGAGAGCGGAGTTTTTTGCTCTAAAGTGTTGTTGTAAAGTGTAAAGTTTGTAGAAAACTCATAGATTTAAAATGTGAAAACGTTGATGATGACGAGGGACAGCGATCTTTGTGAGAGCTGCAGGTTCCTGAGGCCATTTTGTTAACTTAAGCTAGCACTAGCCTCTCCAGCTAATATAGTACATCCACGGGCCGGACTCTGGCCAAGAGCACAGGTGTATTTATATCAGGAGATAATGACCGTAGTGGTCACTGTCAATCAATGTGCTCAGCTACAATCTGGAACAGTCTTCCTAAAAAT